ATACCGTCAGCACCAGCTGTGTTGGACAATTTTAGTTTGTTTATGATGGTTAACACTTCCTCTCCACAGGTGGGTTTGAGATATAAAGAATTTGGATAATTTCCATGTAAGTAATGTTTGTAATTGGCGCCCCCTGGTGGGTTGATATTGTCGGATAGTGTTTTTCCAACTGAAGTAAAGTAATCATTAAAGACATTTGGTAAGGATTTTGTATTTTGTGGGTTCTGCACAGTGTCAGGGATGACTAATGTTTTATTATCGCGACCAAGGATCTCATTTAGCACCTTCCAGGATTTCCTTTGATCACCAAGAGCATGATTAAATTTCCCAGTGAAGTAGTTCCGCCTACTTGCTCTCTTTACTTTTGTTAAAATATTGTTATATTTTGTATACATACATTTATTTTGTGTGCTCCGATTTTTTGCATACCGATCATACAATTTATTTTTCTTCTGTATTGACTTTAAAATCCCCTTTGTTATCCAAGGCTTAGGTTGTATACTATTCTGTTTAATATTTTTTTCAGGGATAGTTACGTTGATGGAATTAGTAACTTCAGATATGAACAAATTATATGCATCGTCAGGATCAGTGGTGTTAAACACTGAATCCCAGTTTTTCGTTTGGAGATGTTGCATCAAAGCAGCAAGGGTTTGATTGTTTATGACTTTTCTTTTCTCCTTGTACATGGATGTGGTGCACCTTTATTCAGTTTCATATAATAAGTAACAGGATAATGATCTGTGATATCAGAGCATACAACTCCTGCTTTACTTTCAACGTTTTGTATATTTGTTATTATATTGTCTAAAATTGACTTGCTGAGTTCTGTGACTCTAGTATGTTTATTGATTTGGGGAAAAAATGATGTGGAAATTATTGTATTTAAAAATTCAGTTCCGTGTTTCCCTTCTTCAGATGTATCAACATTAAAGTCCCCCATTATAATACAGTTTTTGTTCCTTTGGCTGATAGTACTTAGGATATTTTCAAATTGGTCTCTGAACGTGTTATAATTTGAGTCGGGTGGGCGATAGATTACACCAATAATGATACTTTTGGCATTTTTGGGTGTAATTTCTAAGAAAAGTGAATCTGAGAAACCATCATGCAGGTTTAGATATGTGAGTTCATTAACAGAGTATTGGGAGCTTACATAAAAGCACACCCCTCCACCGCTTTTTCCGGTTCTATTTTTGTAAAACATAGTATATCCATCTAAGTTGAAAATGTCTACATATGAGAGTTCATTTAACCAAGTTTCACTACAACCTATTACATCAAATTTGTGACCTATGCTTGCAAGCAGTGAAACGAGGTCATCATGATGTTTTTTAATGCTTCTAATATTAAGATGCATCAATGAGAATGTGAAGTCACTTTTGATATTTAATAGATCTTCTGGTTTGTAATATTCACAATTTTGTATTTCTGTGTATTGGTGCTCTTGCTCGTCACCTTCATTAGTACGATGCATGTCAATCATACCCAAAGTGATCTGAGGTCATGGTGACACCATGTGTGTACAATAGTAATTTTGTTTCCACTGATCTCTGCGAACATATACAACGCACGCACACACACATACATACACACACACACACACACACACCCAAGCGCTCACACACACATACACACACACATGCAGGAATAATAATACATAATAACAGTAATAATAATGGAAATGAAGATAAAATAGCCATAGACTCAATTTAGGTTTGTCAGAAAAAAAATGTCTCTACTTTATTCCCACAGTGATTGAAAGCCCACCCCCGAGTCTCAGATTCATCATGTGCCACCAGCTTAAGCAAACAAATTATATTATTATTGGCACAGAGAATAATAGTCACTCACCGGACACCATTTCCCGAAGAAATAGTAAACATATTATGATCCAATGTTTATGTTCAAAAAAGCTGCAGCCTCATTTGGATCTCTAAATGTCTTTTTGATGCCGTCGGTGGTGAAGGACAGAACCGCAGGGTATGCCATCAGAAAGCGTATGTTTTTCTTAATAAGGTCCGAGCACACCGCATTAAACGCTCTCCTGGCCATCCTGACGCTTGGTGGGACATCTGGCACGATCCTCAGGCTGGATCCATCGTGTTGTATGGCCCCTTGTCGCTTTGCCGCAGTCATGATCACCCTGACATCACGCGAACGCTGGAGTTTGATGATGATCGGGCGCGGACGTCCATCTCCAGGTACCCCAAAGCCCCGATGGGCACGATCGATGGGCACCGAAGTGACGGGTAATTTTAAAAGTTTGGGAATAAATCCTTCCAAGAATATAGTTAGGTCGCTTCCTTCAGTGGCCTCTTTCAGGTTTAATATTCTGATGTTGTCCCGTCTAGATCGACCTTCCAAGTCCAGTACCTTGTCTGCTAAAGCCTTATTGCATTGCTCCATTACATCCAAGCGCTTTTTTAGCGGTGCAATGCCGTCTTCAAGCCCAGAAATGCGTGCTTCTGATTCGGTCACTCGGACGCTGAGTGCGTCGGTGGTGGCTACCACGGCGTCAATGCGCGTCATTATGCTGTTTAGCTTTGCATCCACCGTGGCCTCGAACTTGTTGAAGGACTCTAACAAAGATTGTTGAGTGCGCTGTCCCTCCTCTGCAACAGCCATGGAAATCCTCTGTAGCAGAGCCTCAGTTGATAGCTCCGAAGAGTTAGCGATTAGGCTTGTTTTTGCGGGGAAGCTCGCGTTAGCACTAGCCTCCCGGGCAGCATTTGCATAGCCACTGGTAGCTGGAGTCGGGTCTATGTCGTCTTCTGCTGAATCGGGATCATTTCGTGTTGGTCTTCTTGTTGGCTTTGGCATGTTTGCGGATATGATTTCAAGTTCTGTCAGTGCGGTTCAGTTTGAGAGGGTTAGGGTGAATATTAGGAGACAAATTGACTGGAGCCTTTTCTCTCCCTCACTCACTCTGCCGCCATCTTAAATCCATCTTAAAACCTCCACAGCACGTATAACAATGCAACAGCCAGAGAAGCTTTTTGAGCTAACTCACTTTGCACCTGTGGATACTGAAACTGTCAAAAAGATAATCATGAGTCTGAGCTCCTCCACATGTAGCCTGGATATATTGCCCTCTAAATTTCTGAAGTCCGTCCTGAGCAGTTTGTTACCTTCACTGACACAAATAGTAAACATGTCTCTGTCGTCAGGAACATTTCCTATGGCCCTAAAAACAGCAGTCATAAGACCTCTCCTAAAAAAGAGCAGTCTGGATCCTGCGGGACTTCAAAATTATCGCCCCATATCGAATCTGCCATTTATTGGAAAAATTCTTGAAAAAGTGGCCTCCCAACAACTTACTGAATTTTTAACAATGAATAATTCTTTTGATATGTTCCAGTCTGGGTTTAGACCCCACCACAGCACTGAGACCGCTCTAGTGAAGGTAACAAACGACATTCGACTTCACACTGATGCAGGTAAAGTCACAGTTTTGGTCATGTTAGATCTTAGTGCCGCGTTCGACACTGTCGACCATGAGATCCTCATGCAGAGACTGGAGGACTGGGTTGGTGTCACTGGCACAGCCCTAGACTGGTTTAGGTCTTACCTGGAGGATAGGAAGTACTCTGTGGAGATTGGAGACTGCGTCTCAGATGATGTGGCCCTGACCTGTGGTGTACCACAGGGGTCGATCCTGGGACCTCTCCTATTTAATCTCTACATGCTGCCGTTAGGTCAGTTAATACAAAGAAACAAAGTGTCCTACCACAATTATGCTGACGACACTCAGATCTATGTCTCACTGACTGCAGGAGAACATGGACCACTGGATTTGCTCCTTCACTGTATCCAACAGATCAGTGACTGGATGCAAAATAATTTCCTCCAGCTAAATGCAGACAAAACCGAAATCATTGTCTTTGGTCCCCAGAAACAAAGAGAGGGCGTCATTTGTCAACTTCAGTCTCTCTCCCTACTTCCTTCAGACAAGGTCAGAAATTTGGGGGTAATACTGGACTCAGACCTAAATTTCAATAGCCACATAAAATCAATAACATCAACAGCTTTTTACCATCTGAAGAACATTGCCAAAGTTAGAAATATAGTGTCCAGGGCAGACTTGGAGATTCTTGTCCATGCATTTGTCTCCAGCAGGCTAGACTACTGCAATGGCCTGCTTACAGGTCTGTCCAAACAGACCTGTAAGCAGCTGCAGTACATCCAAAATGCAGCAGCTAGAGTCCTGACAGGAACCAGGAAGTATGACCATATTAGTCCGGTCCTCAGGTCTCTGCACTGGCTTCCTGTGGCTCAAAGAATAGATTTTAAAACGGCTCTGCTTGTGTACAAGTCTCTCCATGGCCTTGCACCAGAATACATTAGTGACATGTTGGTGTCATATGAACCGGCCCGGACTCTGAGGAGCACAGGGACTGGCCTCCTGCTGGTGCCCAGAGTGAGAACCAAACATGGGGAGGCTGCGTTTCAGATCCATGCAGCTAAGATCTGGAACAATCTCCCTGAAAATGTGAGGGAGGCGTCTACTCTGTCAATGTTCAAATCCAGGTTAAAGACTGTTCTGTTTGCCTGTGCATACAACTGAAGGATTTTATCTCCATTTCTAATGCACTGCTGTCATTTATTTATTTTTTTAAATTTCTTGTGTAACTTTGAAAGTTTTAATGGTTTTATTCTTTTGTGTGATTTTATTGTTTTAATTGTGTTTTAATCTTTTGTGTGATTTTAATGTTTTAATTGTGATTCTGGTGTTTGTTTTATGTGATGATTTGTGATGTGGACTGTGAAGCGCTTTGTGTTGCCCTGTGTATGAAAGGCGCTCTACAAATAAACTTTGATTGATTGATTGATTGTGGTCAAATAGTAATAGTAATATCAAATGAAGAGGTCAGATACAGACTGATTGATCCACATTTCAAACCCAGAGCCCCAAACCAAACAAAATCTACGTGAAAGAAAGAACATGCAAGCTGTGTATTGTCGATACAGATGTAACGAGACATGTTTGGTGTTCTCAGAGGGGTTCCAGTCCTGGATGTGGAGGGGGCTCTCCTTTCTGCTGCCATTCTTATTCTTTGGTCACGTAAGTTTGATACCAGTGCAGTCAAGTTTTCCTAGCCTCATCTATATGTCTGTATTTTTTAAACATGAGAGAAATTGGATTTTTTTAGTGCACGCAAAGCCATAAAGCATTTACTGATAAAAAAAGGTAGCATGAAGTGGTTAAAGTTGAAATCTAGTGAATTGGACACAGTATGTAGCGACAGTGACAGGACATGTGTCTGTTATTAAAGACCTTATGACGGGTTTGATTTATTTAGAAATACAGTTTTAATACCATTTTATATTAGAAGAGAACTACTAAAGGTTTCAAAATCAGTTGTTGTTTTTTTTGTCTGATCCCCCCAAATCGAAATAACCCCATAGCAACGCCCTTAGAAACGAAAAAACTTCACAGCCCTTGGTGACGTCAGAACGGGTACGTTTCAACGCTGTAAGTTGTTTACAATTTGGTATTTGTTCTTTTTTTGCGGATATTCAAGATGACAAGGCCGTGTACAGCGAGTCTAACATAACTACTAGAATGTAACATTTCGTTGTCACTGAGATAGTCCAGTGGTTGTGTCGATGGACTGCCAGTCCAGATACTTGGGTTCAAACCCCACCTTGGACACATTTTCACTCTCAAAACGGCAATTTATGTGTAGTGAGCAATTGTCACCTGTAGAGTGCAGTATTGTATTGGGCATCAATGGAGAGAAGAGAGAAAAGGCAGTCCTGTGGCATAGATCCATGGTTTTCAATGCATGGGCGTAACCCGCTGTGACGTCACACACAGGTTAGAGCATAGACAACTTAAATTCATGAAAAACACGTTCTTTTTATAAAATATAGGATTTTTTTTGCCGGAATCTCTTTCAAATTGACATTGTCATGCAATTTTGATATCCACTATTTTTTTTAAAAAAACCCGTCATAAGGTCTTTAATGCATTTCCTGTGTTGGAACCGTATGATTCGGTTTCAATTTCTCCAAAATGACTGCTGTTGTTGATTTAGGGCTAAATAAATTGAATAGCGACTGTTGCTGGTGAATTTGAGGAGAACGGGCCCTGTACCTTCATGACGTGCTGCTTAGTGGGAGGAAGCACGCAGATGCTTTACTGTGTTTTAGGAGACATTTAATCAACAAGTGGCTTACAAAGCGACGCACATACTTTGGCCAGACACACACAGGCACTAAACCCCAAAAGAAATGGTTGACAAAAGGCTTAAAAATGTACACTCAAACCCCAATCCTGAAAGCCCAAAGATTGTGGCTCCTTAAGCTTATAAAAATTGACACATATTTTCCTTTTTCAATACAGTTTTGGCAGTTTTATAACAGCATAACGCTCTTCAAGATGTCTCAGTTGCCTAATTGTAAAGAATGGCAGGTTTGTACTGTTAAAGTCCCATAAAATTCTCCATGTGAAATGTGTTTGTTTATGTTATAATTGTTTTATGTGATGCAGGTAGCGATGTGTGGCTGCTCGTACATGGTCCTCTTCCTGGGAAACTTCCTCACCACACTGGGAGTTGTTTACCAAAAATACATGAACAACCAGGACAAGTCTAAAAGCTTATAAAGAGCCTGGCAAGTGCTGTGTTTACTTCGGAGTCCTGTGGACTCAAAGCTTTCTCAATATTAAGTGCCGCTCAATGATTGTGTTACTGATTTTTTTAAGTCTTGTTATCCTTTCTTGGGGAATGTTGCAGAGTGGCCAATAAACACTCCAATAGGAAATGTCTGAGTGTATTTATAACAAACTTCATTCAAAGTAAAAAAAATATATATATATATTTACAATTTCCCGGCTCAGTTTTTGATCCATCAGATAAGATAAGATGAACCTTTATTAGTCTCACAGTGGAGACGTTTCAGAATATAGTGTTATGTCTGTTGTTAACATCAGTATTGGTTTACAATTCTAAATACATATTTGTAATTAGTGGACAACCAGCAGTGGCTCTGTAGCTCCCATCAGGCCCCAGACCCCACTTTTGGAAGCACTGATGTAGCCAATAAATTATAAAAAATACATCACTATAAAAAGGCAAAAAAAAAGTATTACAATTATGAAAACATCATGAATCACATAAAGGTATGTGTAAATCCATCAGCATGTTACTGTTGCAGATCCAATAGTTACTCAGCAGTAGTTGTGGCTGATACTCTCCTCTCCCACTCACACAGCTGCTCTGTGTAGCGCTTGTCAAAGGCCACGCTGGGTTTACATCTCCTCACATGGCTCCAGGCCTCCTGTGGACACACAGCATCAGGACACGGCCAGGCCTCTGTCTGCAGCAGGAGCTGGACAGGGGGACTATAGTCAGGACTAAGAACAGGAGGACTATGGTCAGGACTAAGGACAGGACTATGGTCAGGACTAAGGACGGGACTATGGTCAGGACTGTGGTCAGGACTAAGGACAGGACTATGGTCAGGACTAAGGACAGGGGGACTATGGTCAGGACTAAGGACAGGACTAAGGACAGGACTGTGGTCAGGACTAAGGACAGGACTATGGTCAGGACTGTGGTCAGGACTAAGGACAGGACTATGGTCAGGACTGTGGTCAGGACTAAGGTCAGGACTAAGGACAGGACTGTGGTTAGGACTATGGCCTTCGCTATGGTCAGGACTATGGTCAGTACTCTCACCTGGAAAGTGCATCTGTGCTGGAGCATGACATAAGCTGTGGCTGCAGCACTGCAGCGGACACAGCCGTGTTTGGACACCAGCAGCACTCTGGAGCCAGAGCTCATCTTCACATCTCCACAGGAAAAACAAACACAACTTATGGCAGGTGACTTCAGACCGATTTCACAGACTAACTGGCTTAGACAATTTAACTTTTCACCTCATTATTGTGATTAATTTGACATATTTGGACCGGGTGCAGTAATGTTGGACTCCCACCAATCTTTATTTAGGCTATATTATTCAATCAATATAATTGGTTGACAAATGAGAATACAATATGGGATAGTTAAATACTGCACACATTTGACACTGATCTCATGACGCCAATTCACAAATGCATAATCTAAACTGCATCATCTCAATCCATCCAAACAATCACTTTAGAACAAAACATTTTTACACACAGAAATAGGACACTACTCACCGATAAAGTCACAAATCTTCTCAAAACAGAACTGGTCCTTGCCTTTCTCTGGTCCTACTTCCACCCTGAGCACGTCAGAGGTCCACACCGGCCTGGAGTCAGTGCAGCAAAGAGTGAGCGGTCCAAAACATTACATATACCACGAATTACGGCAAATTCTTTTCAAATCTCACATGTGATCTGCTGATATACGGACCACTGCTTTGATCATGAGCTGCTCCATCGTCGTACGGCAGTTTGCTTGTGTCTCCTTCCCCATGTAGAGCTTTCCTGGGAGGATTTCTACTGGGTACGTCCTCAAGTTCTCAAGCTCCTGTTTTAATGAAAAGACATTTATGATTAAGGGGTAGAAACCGGATGGATGGATGGACATTTATGACACATCTACACATTTAAACCAACAACGAGGTTATCTAAGATTCAAAATACTCTTGTCTCGTGCTACTTTTTCACCATTTCAAAGGATAGACTTGGTTGGATTGTAAGTCAGGATGGCCCGAGCAAGAAAAACTATCCTGATGTTGATTTTCTATGTCTAGACTTATAAACAAGCCAGTCCCTGAATTCTAATTCTATTTGTAAAGCCCAAATCAGTACAGCGGGCAAACTAGGACTTCACAAAGTTGTTAATTTCCCTGATGTCAGAAGGAAAACCTCCAAAAAACCCAGAGGGGAATAGAAAAACCTAAGGAGAGATTCACTCCCATGGAAAGTGGATGAGTCCAGCTCTGACTGATAGATTTGGTGTTTTTAAATGTGCTCTAAGAACGATATGACTGGATTTGACTTCAACTTCAATTCCCCTTTTTAACACATTTCTTGTCATTTGACTGGAAAAGGATAAGGAAAACATGGACTATTGGAATTGTTCTTACCCTGATTGTGTACAAGATCTGTTCTGTTCTAAAAAAATTAAACAGAGCAGTAAACTTTTCATAACCGCCTTTCAAGATATGGACTGTGGAAAAACTGGACTTGGATATCATTTTGGCACACTGTTGCGCTCGTCCTGCAAAATACAAAACGTTCTGTTACTTTACAATCAAACATTTACATTAAAATAAATCGTATCACCAGAATGATTGACATTTAGGAAGACCAATAATCTTCATGATCCACCCGGAAGTAGAAAATGCTCCTATGTACCTTAAATATAATGTTATAATGTAATATAAATAATAAACCTGGAGAATCGAGGCTGTCACTTTTGCCATCATACACCACAATGTTCTGCATGGTGTCTATCTCCACGTGCTCAAAAGGCAGAAACACAGATTTGGACGTCTGCAAATAAAAACACAACGTGAAATGAAAGGGTTATTGTTCCTTTATGGTGTGAGTAGTGAAAACACAGCACCTTTGCTTGTTTGGCTGTGATGATGTGACCTGTGTTATAATCCTCTGCTTCTCGAGCGTCTGAGTGTGGACAGAGCTTTGAACGGTCTGCTAGGCGTTATATACCACATTTCTCATGAATATCTCACCAATCAGAAAGAGGTAGTTGATTTCTGCCAGTCTGGACACGAGGCCTCTCTGGTTGAGGAGGTTGTACAGGTGCTGGGGCTCACACAGCACTATGTCAGCCATCAGGGACGCCAGCTCAGACAGCTGTTCAAATCACACAATTCAACATGACGTTGTTTTAAAGTGAGTGGGTATTAAGTATTTCTGGGTTTGGTGATGGTTCAGCTCCATGATTTTTTGGAAATTGAAACAAAACAAAAACTCTGGGTTGTGGTGTACTCACATGCAGTGCCATCTTATTAAGGGGGGAGTGCAGTATAAACATCCAATATTAAAAAGTGAGTTGCACTGTGTATGTTTTCAATTAAATATTTTTCCATTGTGGAGTACAATTTGAACTCCTTAACTCCAACATTCAAAATGTTGAAATGTATCCATGTTGATATAATTATCACTATTATTTTATGACAGATGTGACCAATCCCCCTCTTAGTGGCCCTTGCTTGTTTTCTATAATAAGTGGAGGGCAGTTTAGAGCCACATTCTTCAGATGATCAGTTTGCAGTGATGCCAAAGAGAGACGCTGCACAGAGAGCTTTATACTGACGTGAGTAATAATATGAACAAGATTAAAAGCAAGCACTAATATTGATGAACATGTAGCTTAAATGCTAACCCAAGTTAGCTAACCTACCTGTTTATGTCCCGTGGTTGCTATGGTTGCGCGACGTGAAGACGTCATCCCATGCGTAATCCGCACTCGGAAAGAGCCACGCCCATTCTGAAATACACGGAGCTCCTTTTTTATACTTTTATCCATTCAGGACTTTCTTCAACACCCGAAAAACAGTGCGTTTGATGCACAGTAGATCTATGTGGCAGTTACTTTCTGAATAGCCACATGTTCAGAAAGTATACTTACATTATCTTTGCATATAATGATCAGATAAGTATTCAGAATACTGTATGAGCACACGTGACAAAACACAGTTGAAAACAAGTAGAACCATTCAGTATTCTTTGACTAAACACGTTTTCAAAGGATCAGAGACCATGGAGGCACCAGATCCATGGGAGGCACACGCACTGACCTGTGTCCGTTATTATTATAGATCAATGCTTGTGTCCAGCTACAGGCCCGGCTCAGGCCGCCAGGCTGAGTCCAGTAACTGCCTCTTCTGTACACACGCGCCATCTTGTGGCCATGCTAGGAAGTACATTCATGGTGATAACATATAGACTGTAAATACGTCGTATAACACTGCATAACTAGTCACACTCACTTAACGTGACTATGATAGTCTATTTTAAGCTCACAAATGCCATTTTAATCGATATATTTTTAAATTATAACAAAACGATGTATTTCATTTCATTATCTGAAATCCAATGTTAAAACAGAGTTGCAAACAGACAGTTGGGGGATAGAATCATTGATGTTGAGCCTCCCAGTTAAATTCTAAGCTTCCATCTTCTCTGCAGATGCTAGGATTTGTAACGGTCAGTAAGGTTGTAGCACCATATTACGCCACTGCACAGCGCTGTTTGCATATACACTGTATGTATGCTGTTAGTAAGAGGCACACGCATTTTGTCTCTCTCTCCAACTCTACGTAACAAGTGGTACGGGTGAAATAACTGTCATGTATGGCATTATATGAAGACCTGGCATTGTTCTATCAATAAAGTAAGTGGAGATAAAACGAGTCTTTTTCCCCTTTTTGAGTGCATTGCTAAGGGCTTTTCACCTGAAGACTGCCACCCCACGTTACAGATTGTATCAGTCCCACTGACCAACAAGAGTCTTCAATACTCCGAGTATCTATGCCCTGACTTGACTGCGGCTGTAAAATGTCAAACTGTTTTGCCTTCTTAAGTATATACTTCACCCACATTGCCTAGAACAAGTCTGGTGTGTGCGTGAATGGTTGTCTCTCTTCTGTCAGTGTGCCCCAGGGCAGCTCTGGCAACAGTGTAGTTTATCACCACCGTGCATGAAGTGAAAGAACAAGGACATGTGAAGCGTCTTTGAGTGTTCTGAAAAGTTTTCATTTAGTCTTTTGTTATTTCGAGACTTTGTGAGAACTAGGGATTCTCAGGGGCCCTCAGGTAGACATTTACTCTCTGGTGCGACATCAGAGTGAGAGCCACTTTCACTGTGAGCAAGCAGCTGTGTGAGGCATTTAAGTAGTACATGTGTTACTGTTGTATTGTGTATTTACATTGTTTTAATTGTATCATACTGTATATTGTGTACAGCTGAAACATTCACACCTCACTTCAAAGACATGACAGGCGGCCACATGTCATTTTGTGTTTTTATTTTTACAATCAAGAGAGGTTTTGCTTGATTGCATATTTATTTGTCCTGTAATTTTCACATGTTAGAGACATTTAAGACAATTGTGAAGGCTAATAACTGCGGCACAACTCGAGAAACCATGAGCTATAACTATTATCCCCATGAAAGATGAGAGCAAAAACAACATCCTGAATATGGATTTCTTTTCGAGTATATAACCGATAAATTACATCTTCCCAAAGGGTTAAAATTGTTGCAAATCTTGAACAATTTTGTCAGTTTCCCAACAAGAATAGAGCAGCAGGAGGACGAGTTTGTTGGTGGTAAACATTGAGCCGTGTGAACAGACAGCTCTGACAACAGAAGTGTTTACGACTCCAGTCACGTTAGCGCTCATTATGTCTGAGATCTGATCGTTATGTGGATCTGTGCATGGACTAACATATAAAAAAATCGTAGATAAAATCATATGGAGAAACAGGTCCCAGTGGATTTACAGTATTATCCATCAAATTAGTGCTTTTGTAATCGTTCGTCTTTAGTGTGTTTTAGCAACTGGAAAATAAAGAAAAGCTCACACAAGTATTGGTAAAACTGAGATGGTAAGCCAGAGATTATTACCGCCATTATTTTTCTATTGACCTAAATCACGGCAGCAAAATCATTTTTGTTGTAGATGGATTAAATACTGTAGGTCCTACGCTCTTGTTTTGTTTGATAAAAAGAAGAAAAAACAACCATCAAAAATAGAACTTTTAAATATATAGTACCTTTTGCATATAATTCACTTATAGATGTGGATGGATCTCTTTTTACTTGAGTCCATTTACAGTGAAGTCATGACCGAACTGCGGCCCTAATAATGGTTGTGTGGACATGATAACAAAGCAAACAAATAATATTTTGTTCATAGAAAATAGTCTTTCTTACGCCTAAAATGTGGGGTGTTCTTGTGCTACTCTGTGATATTACTACTATAAAACAAACACACTACTGTAGCCATCTAATGTACTTACCTCAGTTACCTGTTGAAAAGATCGGTATAATTTGTACTGCCCAAATTCACAACAGCAGTCGTCTCAAAGGGCGTCACAGAGATGTCGATTCGAATATGAGAAGTGATTATAAATGTTATAACAAAACACTCAAAAGGTCACTTCAGAGATTGACTAAAAAATGAGCACAGATCCCATTTGTGCTCAGGTCTCTGCACTGGCTTCCTGAGGCTCAGCGAATAGACTTTGAAGCAACTTTTGAAGCAATTTGAACCAACTTGCTGTAAACTCAGAGGAGCACATGGTCTAGTTTATGCATCTATAAACTGGCGCATTCTTCCTGCAAATGTGAGACAGGCATCTACTCTGACAAGGTTAGAATCCAAGCTTGTGTTTAGCTTCTTGTTTTGTAAAGCACTTTGAGTTTTCTTCTATCTGTGCTATATAAAACATACTGTACCTTCCCTTGCCTTAAAACAGAAAAAAAGAAATTAGCCCATAAGTATGTCACGATAAGTAAGTGACCAGCTGTACAATAAGTCACGTTAATGGCAAGGCAAGTTTGTTTATATAGCACAATTCATACACAAGGCAACTGAAAGTGCTGAACAAAACAAGATAGAAACAGTCACACAAGGCATTAAAATCATAAATAATCACAGTACATTAGAAAAAGAAAGATACAAAAATATAATATCCCTCAGTTGTATGCACAGCTAAACACAACCCGGATTTGAACATTGTCAGAAAAGTGGCCTGTCTCACATTTTCAGGAAGATCGTTCCAGATTTCAGCTGCATGAGTCTGAAATGCAGCCTCCGCATGTTTAGTTCTGACTGATGTGATGACCTGCACTAAGGCTGAAACCTCGCACTGCTACTGTCCCTTTTAATTCTGTTATACATAATACGTCTTGCACTAAATTTGATCTTATCTTATCCCATTTCATTAGTCTCCAGTCAGTGCTTGTGTTTTTGCATTCCACCACCAGATGGCACTCCAATGCAGCACAGGCGCCTCTCGCTGTTCCCAAAAAAGACAGCTTCAGCCAGAGAATTGTTCAACACGGTGTCATAAACGTGTCGGCTCTCTAATTTACACCCTGCTATTTAGTTATTAATTAGTGCTCGCTGTCAGAGTATGTGTTAAACCCTGTTAGACCAACAGAAAGGCCGCAGCTCCCATTTTAATCTTTTGTTTGTCGCAACTTGGAATTATTATTTTTTTGTCACAGCCAAAAAAAATACAGTGATTTGAATGAGTCTTAATAAATTAGTTTCTGTACATTTATCAGTGAATATGCAAATCAAATCACGAGCATTTAGTTAAAGCTGTGGTTTCTAACTTCTTCCTGGTGGGATGAAAATATTTCATTTATGGAACAAAAGGTAACAAAATAACAAATAGACCATATCAAGCCGTGTTAATGTCGTATTAGAACATGCTCTCTCGTGCATACCTGTAAGAAGGACCTCTCTGAGTCACGATTGGACGCTTTGGGCTGAGCTGAGGCGAGTGAGGGTGTTTTTTTTTTTTTTTACTTTTTTTCCGGCTGAAAAAGCTGATCTAAAGACACAGGCCAAAAATACATGCATGTAGACAGAAGAAATCGGTTTGGGGAGCGAAGAACTAGTTTTATAGATTTTATGACATACAGAGTTCTATTATTGTGGTTTGAAAGTTAGGTACCCCAGTTTAAGGATGCAGTTATTTTCATGGTCTTCTTTTAAATCTTTACATTTGAAATCTGACATACAGTACATGTATTGGGTCCAGGGATGTAAAAAACATTAAAACAAACAATAAAATATTCCACGTTCTCTGAAATAACAGCCATTTTGAGCCGCGTACTTTTCAAAAGTGCAGCTATGCGTTTTACTGGATCAGAGCCGAGACAGCGGCGCCAAAACCGGCAACAGCTTCGGCACCTGCGCACAGAGAACTGCTTTTTTAATCTGCCCATTCCTCTGTGCTGCGGGTTAAAGCGTTTTAGCAGCAAACAATGGCGCGTTCACACGGTCAGAGCAGCGAGTGACGAGCCGCGTCTCACAGGTCTCTGCTAAAGTTTAAATACAAGTCATGTGTGTGGAGCTGATGCCAAGGACCAGCAGCACAAACATGTTCCCATATGGTTTGACTGAAGCAGCGTATTTGCAAGGATCCTTTGGGCTCAGTGACACAGACGAGCGCGACAGACCGGTATGTGCGTGTGTATATGTATGTATGTGTGTATATGTATGTATGTGTGTATATGTATGTGTGTGCATGCTCTGTGTAAATGTATGGGTGTGTGTATGCTCCAATGGAGCTCTAACACGCACAAGTGTCCAAGACGGACAAGAGTATGGATGATGATGGTGCGTGCATGTATGTGTGTGTGTGTGCGTGCGTGCGTGCATGTGTGTGTGCGCGACGTGTGCGGCATGAAAGTCGGCCCAGAGTTTA